TGGCCCACATCTGGTGATGTGGACTGGGTGGGACTGCACGGGCTAGATGAGGGCCAAGTGAGTATCTGGCCAAAAAAGGTCAGAGGCGAGCTGGGCTCTGGGAGCCTTGGGCCATGGAGTGCTGCCCATTATAGCTGGATGAGCTGTCAGCTGGCCACACTGGGCTCCCCCACATGTAAATCCCTGCTGGAAATGAACGCCCCCTTGTGCAAGATCCTTGTCTGCCTTGAAATAGGTCATAGAGTTGAAGGATCACAGAAATCCTAGCCTCAGAAGCGTGGAATCATAGAATCTGAAAATCAGCACCAGGCAGGATTCCAGGATTTCTGAGCTTCTGAGCGCTGGTATCAAAAGGCATTAGAAGTCTAGCACTTTTGGCATAAAATGCTGTGGCTCAAGTGATGACTTAGGAACCACAGACTCATAGAACCTTGTACTTAGATGACCCTTGGAGACTCTCAAGTCGGATCGACACCCCGATGCAACATTCCCTTTTAGAAATTTCCGGAAGGTAGAGCAAGGAGGTTACAGCAGGGAAGGACAGGACAAAGGAGGTTTCAGTGTGGGATGATTTTAGGAGTTCTGGCTCGAGATTCCTGACCCCGAATGTCTTTGTCAGTGGCTATCACTGAAATTCCTCTGCTGGCTGTTCTTCCTTTGGATCTTGCAAATCCGTTAATCTCCAAGGATCTGCTCTGCCATAAACCACTCCCGGGTCAGCCGTGCTCTCAGGACCTCTTCTGCATGACCTTGATGAGCAAAGCAACTCAAGATCCAGACGGCAACCCCAGGCCTCTCCCAGCGCCCACCCTGGGGCCCTCTCCCTGCCCCCAGTGCCATCTCCCACCCCCCAGGCCATCTTGGACTCCTCCCTTCCTTTGCCTTGACCACCCAGCTCTGGCAGGAAACCAGCTGCCTGGGAGAGGCTAGTCCAACAGTCCTGAGGCCAGCCTTGGAGGTACAGTGTGGTCCTACCTCTAATCCCACCACCGCCTGGGGGCAGGCGGCATGGGCACTAGCCTGTAATTTGGGGGTGAGAGATGGGACACCCAGGTCAGCTTTGACCACAGGGTCCTCAGAGGAAGGGAGGGGTCCAGGGTCTTGGAGAATCAAAGCCTTCCTCTCAGCTCCCTTGGTGACCATGAAGATGAAAATATTTATGGACAATTTTCCTCACTCTGGGGACAGGCTGAGCACAGAATGGGGCTTTTTTTTTTTTCTCCCTGGCTATGGCTGGCCTCTCAGGATGGCAGGAGCTGGGACAAACACAGGCTGTTTACCAGGTCTACAGAAGCCCCCAGGAGACACAACCGCATACAGTTTCCCCTCTTTTCAACTGGGACGTGAGCCTCTGGAAAGATTCCCAGAGGAACAAGGGTGATTTTCTCTCCAATGTTAGCTTAATTCTTGATGGGATTGAAGGGATTTTTTTTTTTTTCTCCCTGAGAGATGGGGCGAGTGTGTTTTGGTGAATAACATGTTTCCCATAATTTGTCTTTTGAAAGCACAAGGAAATTTGCGTATGTGGCTGAATCGGCCTGGACAGAACCTTCTGGAGAGGTTGGTCCTTCATTTCCCCACCGTGTCAAGCTGCTCGAACTCAATAAACACTTGTTGACTGAATGAATGGGTCATAGAAATCATAAGCCGGAGCTGGAAGGAAGGCCCCATGGAGATTCTCCTTGCCAGACTACTCAGGTTTCGGGCAGGGAAACTGAGGCCCAAAGAGGGGAAAGGGATGGAGACTGCATACAAGTACAGATGTATACAATTCTAGATCACAGCTCAGCATGAAGATAAGGGTGATAATGATAATAATAAAAGTCTTTTTCTGGGTATTGGGTGTTTTCCAATTTACCAAAAGCTTTTTCACTGGCCAGACTTCCAGGAAGACTGTGGAGGAGGCAAGGGAAAGACTGGACTTTTCTGCCTTATGGACAAGGAGAGAGAAGCTCAAAGATGTCAAGCAATCTGTCCGCTCAGCCAGAAAGGGGTGAGGTGAGGTTCAGCAAACAAACCAGGCTGCTTTCCATCACTCGACAGACAGACACCCCTCCTGTGAAATTCACTCCCCACCCTGAAAGGAGGGAGCTGCCTAAGCCTGATTTTAAATCCCAGCTCTAACACGTACGAGCTGTTGAAAGAGCTCACTGTGCCCATTCAAGCCTCAGTTTTCCCAGCTGCCATTTGGGGCTTGTGTTCCTCATCTATCCCCATGGCCTCATGAACTGGTATGAGAATAGCATTTGAGAATGGATATGAACCCTCCTTGGAAATTGTTAAGCAAGGGTCGGAGGTTCCTGATGCTAAAATGATGATGTGTTAGTGGATCCGTCTGTCCATCCAAGGGAGACAGTGTTTCAATTCCAGCTCTTGAGATAAAAATAGCTTTCAGGGAGGAGGGGGGCAGCTCCCTAGGATATCTGGGCAGGATAAAAATAATCCTCAAGAACAGCTGGCTCCTTTTCTCCACTTTGGTATTCACCGCAGTCTTCTGATCTCTTATTTGGTTTCCCAAGTCAACCTACCATCCCAGGCAAACAATCCTCCTTGTTCTGGGGCCAGGCGGTGGCAAATATATTCCAAGCTCTGGGAGTAGAGGCTTTGAAAGCAAGAAATATGGGTCCCATCCCAGTTCTGTTTACAACTCGCTGCGTGGCTCTAGGCAGGTCATTCTGAGTCCTCTTCCCACAGCTCCCTTCTTCCTCAGTGCAGGGCTGGCAATAGAACTTTCTGCAAGGATGAAAACATTCTCTATGTGCACGGTACAGCATGGTAACTACCAGGGCTATTGAGTACTTCAAGGGTGGCTAATGCAACTAGGAAACTTAATTTCTATATTTTTTTATTTTAAGGAATTAAAATGTAAGTAGCTACATGTAGCCGGTGGCTACCATATTGAACAATGCAAGCCTTTCAAATAAGGATGAGACCTCGTCCTGGGGTGAGAAGGAGCCCTAATGTGCGCACAGAGACTGGCAGATGAGATGCTCACTGCTTCCTCCCCTCCTTCTCCTCTCCTGACCCCTTCAACTGAGAATTTGCAAGTGTCTTTGAGCGGAGGAATTCCCCTTTGGGGACATTCAACTCCCCTGTGGAGACTGGCTGGAGAAGTGGATGGGTAGTGGGGGGAGAGGGACTCTAGGGGCTTCTGTGACGAATAGGCTCAGAGAGCAGGGGACAAGGCCAGATCGGAGAGGAACCAAAATGACTGCATCTGCCAACTCCTGCCTCTATTTTTGGTGCTCACGGGCACCAGTGCTGGAAAGGGGCCCATCTTCGAAATTCCTTTTCTTCACATACAGTGGTTGAGATCATGGGCTGTAGAACCAGATGGTTCTAGGTTAGTGTTTCAGTCCCATCAGTTACCAGCTGTGAGACCTTGGGCAGGTTGCCAGCTTCTCTGTTTCTCATCTGTAAAAGGAGCAGAAGAATGTCTACATCTGAGGATTTTGTGAGCAATCAATGAGCTAATCTGTGAAAGCTCTTTACAGGAGGCCCCACAGATATCAAGTGCTTAAAAAACAGATGTCATAGCCAATCTTATATAAACAGAGCCTCTTAACATCCACACCCACGCGGACCAGAGTCCAGTCAGATGCCTGCAATGCCTTTGATGCCACATCTCCAGACAACCTCTTTTTTGGTGGTCTTCAGGGTGAGGAAGTGACCACACACAGGAACAAGTCCTGGCACCCTCAGACGACAGATGACCCATCAAACTGTGCACTGGGAAGCCATCCTGAAGTATCTAGTGCTTGGATCTCCTTTCCATTGCCCCTGCCAAATGGAAATCCCCTGAGACCCATCCAGAGATAGGAGCCCTGTCACCTCCTGAGGCCTGGGAGCTCAGGGATGGCTGCCTGTCTGTGACTTCCCACCTCTGGTCCTGGTGGAGTCTCCACTTCCCAGTCCCAGTTTCCTTTCATTGTTTCCCCAGGTTGGAGGAGTCTGCAGATCAGCCCTGGTCAAAATGCCTAGCACAGGACCTGGCTTCCGTGGGTTAGGTGCAGAGTCATCTTTAACTGGAAGAGGAGAAACTCTTCCTTTTGCCTCAGGCTCCAGTATGGCTTGGCCTGGCATTGTGTTGTGGGGGCTGTACGGGGGTGTGGCTGCCGTGAGACAGAAAAGACATCTGATCCAGTCAGTGATGTGCTGAAATGGGCCCAGACCAGCCGGCGCGCCTCTTCCCAACTTTACACTCGAGGACTGAATGTTGTTAGCTCGAAATTGGCCACGATGGGCATATTTACACCATGGAAATTGGCAGATGCTAAAAATCAGGACTTTTTCTCTTCCTTGAAAAGGAAGAGCATTGGCTGTTAAATATTTGCCAACACACCGCTATATGCAGCCTGCAGTGGGGTGGGATGAGGCAGGTGTGGGGGATTGAAGAAAGGCTCCCTAGAGGAGATACTTTCTGACTCCTGCAGAATACGCATCTAGAAAAGAAGAAAACACATCCTGCTTACCCTGGCCAAAGAAGGAACTCAATATGCAAAGTACCAGAGGAATGGAAAATCCTGTATTTTATTGAAGAAATTGCAAGGAGCTGAGTGTAGCTGGAATGTGTGATGTTGTGGAAGAATGAAGTTTTTAGGAGGTTACAGCATCAAATAATGCCCCCAAATTGAGCAAGATCTGGGTCTATGCTCAAGGGAGTGGATAGCAGATCCAGCAGAGGAGGAAGGAGGGAGCTGCTTCTGAAGTGCGCACAGTACTGGCCTAGGTAGGAGAGGGCAGTGGTGAGCTAATCCATGGTTAACACTAGGGTCTCGGGAGGAAAAGAGCCCTAATTAATAGCATTTGCCAATTTCTGAGGTGTAAATGCTCCCACCATGGCCTGTTTGAAATTACCTTAGTGATGTCACCAAACACCAAGTTTAAAAGAGGTGCTTATATTGAATTTCCAACCCCCACCCTTACAAAAGATGTAAATAACTTAAAGGGTATAGAAAACGTAAAGCACAGCAAAATAACTAGAAAGAGACGAGTTTGGGGTATTTATCACTTTTACTTTTAATATAACTCACCTAATTGGAAGTTTATACAATTAAAATTTTAATAATGGCTTGTTTAACAGCAGCTCACACGATTCTTGAAAATTCAGCCATCTGTTCTCATGAGCTTTTTCCAGGTTTCTCCCCCGCCCTGGGAGAAGGGATTTTGGTCTATTGCTGTGGAAGTGGTGGGGGCTCCCAGATTTCCAGGGCTTCGTTTTCCTAACCTGAGGGACAAGAGCAGGTTTATCACAAAGTCCCAAGGATCTGACAGATAAGACTCTGGGTGGCTTCCTGGCACAAGGCAGCAGTCCCCAGGACACCAACGTTAAGAGCAAATGATTCTCAGAGATTTTCATCCAGGAAAAAGAACAGTCCGCTGCCAGCTTTGGCATATTTCATGTCCTCAGCTGTTTACTTCAAGAATGCCGTTTTATTCAGAAGCCACTGGCACCTAAACCGTCTGAGAAAATAACAATAACAATAGTCGTAATAAATAAGCCTCTATTTATGTTACTTTTTCCAGGCACTAGCCACTGTTCTACGTGCTTTATATATATTAACTTACTTCATACTCAAATCCTAGGCACAATGCAGATATTATTATTAAAATATCAATGTAAATATTAGGATGCTATTCTTATCACAGTTCAAAAGGTGGAGAAACTTAGGTACAAAGAGTTAAATAGCACACCCAAAATCACAGAGCCAGAGCTCAAAACTGGGATTTGCACCAGGTAGCCCGCTGTTAGCTACTACCAACAAGGACCACAAGGGTGGCAAGAGAGAGAGAACATGCCTTTGCAGTCCAAGGCAACTAGAGGAGACTCCATTAGCTTGAGGTGCACGTCATGCCAAGATCAGCTGCATTTGCCCTGAGAGCTCACCTCCCAGGGACTGGTGAAGTTGGGAGAAATGAATAATCACCACGGACGTGCATGTCAGTTCCCCCAATTTCGGAGGTGAGGAAAAGGCTCAGGAGGGGTAAAGGGAGAGGCTCAGAGAGGTAAAGGGAGTCTGCTTCCCAAGGTCCTGCGGCTAATATAAGGTGGTGCTGTGTGTCTTAGGCATGGGCTTCATATGAAATCATAACCCTTCCTGGATACCTAGATAGGTGAGACCCCAAATAAGAACCTGGTTGAAAAAAACGCAGAAAATAGGGGGAAAATACCCCTCAATGAATACATTACCCACTCCAAGAGCGAGAGGAGTGGTCTCACCCATCTCTGATCATCCGATCACCTATTAGAGCATTTGTATCTCCTTGAGACAGAGTCTCACTCTGTCGCCAGGCTGGAGTACAGTGGTGTGATCTCAGCTCAATGCAACCTCTGCCTCCCAGGTTCAAGTGATTCTCATGGCGTGTGCCACCACGCCCAGCTGATTTTTGTATTTTCAGTGGAGACAGTGTTTCACCACTGTTGGCCAGGATGGTCTTGATCTCTTGACTTTGTGATCTATCCACTTCAGCCTCCCAAAGTGCTGGGATTACAGGCATGAGCCACCACTCCCAGCTGATCTCCCTTTTAAAAAATTTTTTTTAAAAATATTTTGAGATGGAGACTTGTGCTGTTACCCAAGCTGGAGTGTAGTGGCGTGATCTTTGCTCACTGCAACCTCTGCCTTCCAGGTTCAAGCGATTCTCCTGCCTCAGCCTCCTGAGTAGCTGGGACTATAGGCGTGCACCACGCCTGGCTAATTTTTGTATTTTTAGCAGAGACAGGGTTTCGTCATGTTGGCCAGGCTGGTTTTGAACTTCTGACCTTAAGTGATCCACCTGCCTCGGCCTCCCAAAGTGCTGGGATTATAGGCATGAGCCACTGCACCCAGCCTGTCATCTCCCTTTTGCTTGTGCAAATGCCTGAGGCTGTGGTAGGATCCTGCCCTAAGAATAGCAATTAGGGCTCGACTGCAAAGAAGAGCCGCAGGACTCAGAATGACAATGTGTACACATCTACAGCTCTTTCAGGAAAAGCACACATTGCAACTGCATTTAACGTAAGAGCCTGCTTCACAGCTAAAGACCGCCTCAAAGCAAGGGGTCTGGAGAGGCCAGGCATCAGCCCACATTGTCCTCCCCTTGAAAGGCCATACCAAGACGCACTTCCTCTCTCAGATCAGAAGCCATGAGCTTGAGTATGGAATACCTAGAACCCGGGAGCCCCAAATGGAGTCTCACCTGAAGTTTTTCATTCTTGTTTGGTCATTTTAGGCATATTCTTGCTATGAAACCAGCTCTGGCAGCTCCCTCCAGGGGTCTCACGAAGGCCAGGTACAAAGTGTTAGTCTCTTGTTATTAGAAAACGATGCTGACAAGTTGGCACGAACCACCCTGAAACTCCTCTAAGCAACGCTATTTATCGGCATGTTTTATGCCTTAACAAGGGTGTCAGTCACAAGCTCTTAAGCCATAAACACAGGAGAAACCTATTCAATAAGCATTAATCCAGATAGGCTAAAAGGATAGATGATACTTAATAGGGGTTCCACTCAGGGTGACAAAACTTTACTGTACCAGAGGAGGCACATAAGAAAATCTTAGGGGTTCCTCAAAGTCATCAGATTAGTGTGAATGCTGTGGTGTGGCTGCCAAAAAGCTAACATGCCCTCAGATTGCATTAACAGGAGCATAGATTATATATGGGAGGAGGTGATAGTCCTGCTCAACTCTGTGCCAGCCGGATGCCACCCAAACCCGTGAGCTTTGCTGTGGTCACTTGGCTGTAATTGGGTACTGACTGCAATGCCCTTGGAGGAGACAATGATAGAAGATGTGAAAGGGGTACCAGATGAGGAGTGATTGGAGGAAATGAGAATGCTGGGCTTGGAAAAAGGATGGCTTGTGAGGAAGACAGGGTTGTTACTTTCAGGGTGATTTCAGCCAGAGGCAGGCTTCAGCTGATTCCAGAACTGCAGTTCTCAATAGTCACTGTGAAAAGAGCTTTAGCATGTTGACACTTGGAGATGCATCTGAAGAACTCTTTGCAGAAGTGGCTTCTTGGAAGGGAGGCATAGTGGTGTGTGTGTGTGTGTGTCTGTGCATGCGTGTGTATGTCTCCTCTGTCCTCATTTTGTGACAAGCAGAAGCATCCAACTTTTCCTGGAACTACCTGCAGGCAGTAATGTATCACATCGCATGGTCTGGGCATGGGTAATGAGGTAGCCAAGATATTGGAGAGCAGATTGCAGCTGGAGGAAGGAGAATGATGTCTCTCTAAAAAGCTGACTCTCCTGTGTGGCTGACAGCAGATTTGCCACATAGGAGTTGACTGACCACATCATGGAACCAACCAGACATTGGCCTGGATGAATTTTCAGCTCTAAAATTCACTTGGTGCTTCCATCACCACTGTCTGGTTACTACTCCTTGCGTTGTGAAGGGAAACTCCTCCCCTGCGCGTGTGCACGTGCGCATACACACACACACACACATACACACACACACGAATGTTCGTATATTGTAATGAACACTGGACTTAGGGCCACAGCTCTAGTCCCAGTTTTGTCACCTTGCTGCTGGCTGAAGTTGGGCAAGACCATTAGTTTGGATTTGGTTTATTCATCTCTAAATCAGAGATGCAGATATCTGTCATGTCAATCTGATGGGGTTGTTGCATGGAACCCCAAAATGCTAAATGTGATATTGTTTTGGCTATGAATGGAGGAGGGGACTGTTACTGTCATTGTCATTGCGATCCCCTGGTCTGTCTGGTACAGACCAAAGTTTTTATTCGTTTGATACATAAGCTAGGATGCTTTCAGCTGCCAGTGAGGGAAAACACAACTAAAAGTGGCGTCAACAATGAGGGCCACTGTTGTTTTGAGAAACGTCAGTCCAGCGGTGCCTAATTCAGCATCTCAATAATGTCTTTAAGAATCCCTCCCTCCCTTCCCCTCACACTCTCTTTCTCTTTTTCACAGAGTTTTGCTCTTGTTGCCCAGGCTGGAGTGCAATGGCACGATCTCGGCTCACCACCTCTCGGGTTCAAGCAATTCTTCTGCCTTAGCCTCCCGAGTAACTGGGATTATAGGCACATGTCACCATGCTCTGCTAATTTTGTGTTTTTAGTAGAGCAGGGGGTTTCTCCGTATTGGTCAGGCTGGTCTCGAAATCCTGACCACAGGTGATCCACACGCCTTGGCATCCCAAAGTGCTGGGATTGCAGGTGTAAGCCACTGTACCCAGTTGTTTTTTTTTTCTTTTTCTTTTTTTTTTTTTTTTTGAGACGGAGTTTTGCTCTTGTTACCCAGGCTGGAGTGCAATGGTGCAATCTCGGCTCACCGCAACCTCCGCCTCCTGGGTTCAGGCAATTCTCCTGCCTCAGCCTCCCGAGCAGCTGGGATTACAGGCACGCGCCACCATGCCCAGCTAATTTTTTGTAGCTTTAGTAGAGACGGGGTTTCACCATGTTGACCAGGATGGTCTCGATCTCTTGACCTCGTGATCCACCCGCCTCGGCCTCCCAAAGTGCTGGGATTACAGGCTTGAGCCACCGCGCCCGCCTTTTTTTTCTTTTAAGATGGAGTCTTGCTCTGTTGCCTAGGCTGGAGTGCAGTGGCATGATCTCATTTCCCGAGTTCAAGCAATTCTCCTGCCCCAGCTTCTTGGGTAGCTGGGATTACAGGTGCCCACCACCACGCCCAGCTAATTTTTGTATTTTAGGTGGATACGGAGTTTCACCGTGTTGGCCAGGCTGGTCTTGAACTCCTGACCTCAGGTGATCCACCCGCCTTGGCCTCCCAAAGTGCTGGGAGGTGTGAGCCACCTCGCCTGGTCAGGATCCTGTTCTTTCTGCCTTTCCTCTTGGCCACCCTCAGTTTGTTGGCTGTGGACCTACGGCTTGTCACCTCATAGTGGCAAGATGACTGCAGCCTCTCCACACAACACAACTGCATCCTACAAAGTTCAACAGGGAGAAAGGGACAGGTCGCTGGTCTGTGTCCTCTTGTAAAGGTGCGGAAAACTTTCTCAGAAGGCCCCAGCCGATGCAATTCTCCTCATATCTCAGTGGCCCAAATGTATGTCCATGACCAAGCCACTCACTGGCCAGAGGAAGACCACCACAGTTTGGGGTTTGGGCGGGACACAGTCTCCACTGAAGGATAAAGAGGTTGGATGAAGATGGAACTCTTGTCCTTAGATGATGGTCAACCTGCCCCCAGCTCTGCCGCTCTTCCCCTCCTCCCTCCTTCCCTGATTCTTCCCTCCCTTCTTTCCTTTGTCCATCTAAGATTTACTGAGGGGGTCTATGGAGATAAGACACAGCCGGCCAGGCACAGTGGCTCATGCCTGTAATCCCAGCACTTTTGGAGGCCGAGGCAGGCAGATCAGGAGGTCAAGAGATTGAGACTATCCTGGCCAACATGGTGAAACCCTGTCTCTACTAAAAAAAAAAATAAAAATTACCTGGGTGCGGTGGTGCATGCCTGTAGTCCCAGCTACTTGGGAAGCTGAGGCAAGAGAATTGCTTGAACCCGGGAGGCCGAGATCACGCCATTGCACTCCAGCCTGGCAACAGAAGGAGAATCCAACTCAAAAAAAAAAAAAAAAAAAAAAAAGACACAGCCAAAGCCTTGCAGGGCTCCTTGTTGCATAGGTGTGTGGTGTACCGGGCAGGATGGGGGCTGGCGTGGCAGAGCTGGGGGAACACGGAGCCCAGACTCCAGTGAAAAAGAGCTGGAAGGGCATTCTAGGCAGAGGAGGCCACAGAAGCCAAGGCCTGAAACTATCAATTGCCTCCATCCCCACCCTAGGCTGCTGGGGGTGGGCCAGAACTCCTCACCAAAGGCTTGTTTGGTATAGCCAGTGGTTCTGGACACATTACTGGGGAGAGCCCAGGGACCTTAGCTTGCCACAGTGCTCACATCTGGAAAATGGACCTAATGCTTCCAAGGATGACTAACTGCATTTAGGCTGGAGAGACAGGTTTGACCCTCTGCGGTTAGCACAAAGAGGGGAGACCCTGCTTCTCCACACCAGCCCCATTAACTTTGTGTGACTTTGAGAAAACCATGGACCCTGTTTCCGAGACTCAGTTTCTCCACCTGTAAAATGAGGAATTTTTTTTTTTTTTTTTTTTTTTTTAAGATGGAGCCTTGCTCTGTTGCCTAGGCTGGAGTGCAGTGGTGCGATCTTATCTCCCGAGTTCAAGCGATTCTCTGTAGACACTTGGCCTTTGTCACTTGGCCTAGCCCTTGAGAAATAAACCCAGAGTGGGGAAGAGGCAGAAGATCCCAGAAGGTGGGAGCATGTGCCTAGCAGGTAGGTGCTGCTCTCCCAGTGCTAGCCTTGAACTTCCTTGACCTCTGCCTTATTCCTTCTGGTAGAGTGATTGTCTTTGGAATTCTGGTGGCCACCAGGCCACAGTGACATGGTCCTGTAGGCAGAGCCCAGGCCCTAGGAGACCATGGGCCATGAGGACAGCCAGCACTGGCTCCAGCGTTGGGGAGAGAAATGGGCCGGCATTGCCTTGCGGGGGTGAGGAAGACACCATGAGACTCTGCCTCCCTCTCCAGCCTGGAGTTCAGTTCAATTCATTTTACTAAAATGCTTTGTCCTGGATGCTGGGAACACAGCCATTAGCAGGTGGGCAGAGCAGCTCCTGCCCTCAGGGAATGTATGGTCTACATTTAACCAAGGAATTATGGGAATTAGAAGTCAGTGTGGGGGCGGGCATGGTGGCTCACTCCTGTAATCCCAGTATTTTGGGAGGCCAAGGTGGGCAGATCACCTGAGGTCAGGAGTTCAATTAACATAGAGAAACCCCGTCTCTACTAAAAATATAAAATTAGCCAGGTCTGATGCCACATGCCTGTAATCCCAGCTACTTGGGAGGCTGAGGCAGGAGAATCACTTGAATCCGGGAGGCGGAGGTTGCGGTGAGCTGAGATCACGCCATTGCACTCCAGCCTGGGCAACAAGAACAAAACTTGGTCGCAAAAAAAAAAAAAAAAAAGTTAGTGGGGACCCATTCCTGCCTTCCCCCGTTCTTCCACTGAACATGACTCATTTGCTCATTTCTTTCTTTCTTCCTGCTTAACCATCACCTCCTCAGAGAGGGTGATTATTTATATAAAATAGCCCCGCTCATCATTCTCTCACTCCACTCTGCTTAGAGGTCTTCACAGCACTCATGACAACCTGATGTCATAGAACAGATTTGTGTATTTTCTGCTCCTCTGTTAAGACAGATGCCTTGTGTTATGTTGTTCAGTGTATCTGCAGCACCTAAAATTGGGTCTTCCATGTGCACTGGGTCTGCACATGCCCAACAAATATCTGTTGTTGGGTGAGGGTCATCATGGAGGAGAGGGAGGAGATGGCAGGGGAGTTACCCTGGTCTCATCTGCTGGATTTACTTTCATTCATGTTTTCATTCAGGCGTTCATTCTATCATTCACTCAGCACTTGTGGAGAACTTCCTGTGTGCCAGGCATTGTGCTTGGTGCTGTTGTCAGAAGATAAAACGGCAGCGCTGTCCAGCAGGGACCACAGGTTTTATTTGCCAGAGGCCAGCTCAGGGGCTGATGCGTGACAGCATCTCTCTACCAAGGAAAGAATGACTCCACGGTTAGATGTGAATTGTGCAGGGAATTGGAGAGACTGGAGGACTCTAGATCTTCTCCTAGTGGGAGGACCCTGGTTCTCCTCCAGATTCTGCAGTACCGCTTAAATGGGCTTGATTTGAGGCAGGACTTCCTGACCTGCATTTTTTGCCTGTCTTTCTCTTTGCTAGCCTCCTTCCTCAGACCATAGCATTTCTAGAGCAGAAAACCCAGCCTGGTGCACAGTGGGTCCTCAGAAGCAGCTTGGTGAGTAAATGGATACGGACTGATACTTGAGGGGGGTATGCAACCTCTGTCTCGTAGGTTAAGACTTCCTCTAGGGCCAGGTGTGCAGGCTTATGCCTGTAATCCCAGCACTTTGGGAGGCTGAGGCAGGAGGATCACTGGAGCCCAGGAGTTTAAGACCAGCATGGGCAACAAAGTGAGACTGTCTCTATTAAAATGAAAAAAAAAAAAAAAAAAAAAAAGAAGAAGACTTCATCTAGTAGTTCATTCATAAACATTTTGTGAGCACCTACTGTGTGCCCACCATTGAAGCTATTGCAACCAACAGCTTCTCCAAAGACAGATGCACCAAGAGACCAATGGGTCCATGGCTGAACTGCTTGAGCAGGGGGCAAACCATGTGTGTGGTCCCTGAAAGTCCCTCCCAGGCCAGGAATTCCCAACCTGAGGCATCTACAGAGGCCTGGCAGCCCGTGTTCACCTGGTTCCCAGGCTTACTGCCTTCTGCCTCATAGAAATGGGTCTCTTAAGGCTGTTTGGTGATTGCCCTGTCCCCTCTGCGGGGTGGGCAGTGGCTTAGTGTCTTCCACATTCGATGTCCATCAGAACTGTTCATGCCCAGTCACTGGCTCTGTGCCAGGAACCTACCTGGCAGGAAGACTGGGTGTGAGGAGACAGCAGAGGCAGGATACAAGGTCCTTCCTTGGAATTCTTCCCAGCATCCATGCCTCCTCTTTCCAGCTGACCATGAGCTCCTGGAAGGCCATGAGCCTCATTTCCCTCCCGACCTAGCAAAAATGCATTTAGCCCTCAGTATTCATTTACAGAATTGGATTTCTTGTGGAATAACAGTCTCATGCCTCCAAGCTCAGAGGGCCCACACAGCTCATCATGTCTGATGCACCTGTTTTACAGACGAGCAAAGTGAGGCTCTGAGAGGGGTGCCCTCAATCCTTCTGGGTGCTCATGGGGTTCTCATGGATCTTTTGGAGTGCCCTCAGTGAAGCAGGGTTCCCTGGAAGTAAGCCTTGCCTATTCAGATTTGTGAGTGACGCCAAGGCCTTTGAAAAGGCCTTGGTGCTTAGCCACTGACCTGCTGCCTGACCCTTCAGGAAATGCAGCCATTTGCCTGGAAATGGCTTTGTGTACAGTGAGTTGTGTGGCATCACACACAAAACAGTGGAGAGAGCTGGACAGTTTCTCTACTGGGCCTCACCTCCTCAATCCTCCTTCAAAATCTACCTGAAATCCACCTCTATCCTCTTGGCCTTTTTGTGACTCTTTCACCAAAGATGTCCTTCTCCCCCGTGGCTGCACATTTATCCGACACACCCTTTAGGATCCAAATGCCACCTCCTCCTGGGAGCCTTCCTTGGTTTCTTTCTAGCCCTTAATCAGCTTTGCAATTCAATTGATCTACATGTCTTTGGCAGCATTGATCACATTCTCCTTATGTTACCTTTATGCAGTTGCAGGGGGTTCTCCATGACGCAGTGATGTCTGGTATCTCCCATCCAGAATCTCTTCCCTAACCCAAGTTGCTGTGCATATCTGCCCACATTACAAATGCCTGCATGACCAGAAGGCAGGACCATTTTTGTGCCTGTCTCCACAGTGGCAGATCCTTTTCCACCCCATCCCGGTCCCAGAGTCTGGTACAGGGGTTTGCTTGAGCATCTATTGTATCCCAGACTCCATGTGTTGGGGCTGGGTGTCCGGAGACAGAGATAGATCTGCCAGTGACAGTGCCATGTCTTGTGTGCTGCAATCTGGTGTAGGGCAGAGCAGCTAGGTGAGCTCCGGGCTGCACCTGGAAGAACAATGAGGTTGTGAACAGGCAGAAATGGGGCAAGGGAAGAACGAGGGAGGAAACAGTATGGACAAAGCATCCAAGTAGCCAAGCTTACCTGAGCCTGGGTGCAGGAATCGGAGAGGCTGGAGCTCAGGAGGCAGGATCTGAAGCTGGGGAGGCTGGGGAGGATCTGCACAGAACCCCTTAAAGGCTAAAATTTGGATCCTCATGACAAGATGCAGAAGTTTGGAGTTAGGCTACCTGGGTTCAAATCCCACGTCCACCACCTACCAGTTTATGTCAGCTTTCCCATCTGTAAATGGAGAGAAAGTAACAGACCTCCCTTAAACCCCAGCCCTGTGTGGGTCAGGGTCTGGACTAGGGCGTGGCACATGCAGAGATGCGGCATACCAGGAGACGCCAAGAAAACTCAGCAATGAGGTCAATTGCCCAAAGCAGTGCCCCCGAACCCCTAAGTAATAAAGATAATTTTTTGATGCAATACTTTTCAAAGTATAAAAATTAATGCAAAACCCCACAATGAACAAAATAACTAAAATGTAAATAAAGGCAGGGTCTGCATGGTACCAAGTATGCAACTAAAAAAACATTAGTTATGATTGGAGAGGGCGTTCTCAGCCTTAGGGGGCCGTGGACTTCTGAAGACCGGAGGAAAGCCTGTGGCCCCTCTCCCCTGAAGAATGCACAAGCATGCTCAATTTGTGCACAGTTTGGGGGTCTTCCTGTACTCCCTGGGGTTCCTGCACATGGAAGTTAAGAACTCTGGCTCAACATGGGGGTGCGGGGGTGGCAGAGGTGGTTCCACACGAGAGCCAGCAGCCTGCCGGTTCCCCAGTCCCACGACGGGCCTCCCTCCTGGCAGCCATGGGTGCTCTGCCCTCTGCAGGAAGCAGCGCACAGCTATGCAGCTCCCCCCACCCCCTTGCCTCCCCTCTCTCGGCTTGGGACTTTTCCTAAAGTTTGTTGAAACCAGACACCTTGCTCGACCGAGCCCGCTAGCAGCTACGGTTTAAAAGGCCGCCTTCAGCGCCCCCTCCCCGCCCCCAGCGGAGACTTCAAAAGGCCCGGCGGGCGCCGCGGCCCCAGCACCTATGAGCCGCCCCCCGCTCTCGGAGCCCGCGCCGGAGTCCGTGGACGCAGAGCGGCCGAAGTTCGAGCGCAGGCGGACCGGGCCGGCGGCGCAGTCCCGCGCGCCCATGCCCCTCCCGGTGCCGCTGCGCTCCGCGCGCCCGCGCTGCGTTTAGGGAAGGGGACCTTGCACCCCCCCCCGCCCCCGCGCCCACGGCTGCGGGGACCCATGAATACAAATGCCGTTAGGCGCCGGAGGAAGGACCGACCGGCCAGCCTCGCACTTAGGGACCCAGTAAGTGCCTGGAGGCTCCTGGAGCGCGGAGAGTGTTGCTGTCCGTGTGTGTGTGTGCGTGCGTAAAGGTGTGCGCGTATGGGAAGGTGGGTGGTACATGCGTGGGGAGTGAATGGGTGTGTGCACATGTGCGGTGGGCACTCTTGGAGAGCTGTGTGCAAGTGAGGGTGTGCGCCCGTGAGTGTGTGCACCTGGAGTGTGTACACGTGTGGAGGCTATATGGTCAGGATAGTGTGCATTTGCCCGTGTGTAAGCATCCGTGTGCATGTGTCTTTGAGTGTGGCGTCTCAGCGTGCGCCTGAGCCCAGATCTGAGGATGCGTTATTATGTGAACCCAGGAAGGGTGCGTGGCTGTCCCTGCTTGTGACCCGGTGTGAGAGTGTGTCTGAGTTTGGGGAAAGCGTGGATACGTACGGGATTGTGCACCGGTGAATAAGTGTGACTTTGCCTGTGAACGAGTGGCAAGAGGTGGTAGAGGCGGCGGGAGCTGTGGTCCCAGGGCTGGACTGAGGTTGTGAGAATGTGCCTGGGTAAAGGTGTGCTTCTTTGGCTCCAGTATGGGATCCGAGGGAGTTTTTGTCGATTCTGGGGAGGTGCGCGGGTCCGGGGTCGGGGAGCGGGTAGGATCCAATCTCTGACAGAAGGGAGAGGGGGGCAAACTTTCAACAAGCCACCCTTTATGCTCTCCACGGAGCTCCAAGTATCGGTGCGCAACCTTTTGGTGGGCGGTGGGGTTCAGCATACTGGTTGTCGTGGGAGTCTGGACACCAAGTCCTGGTCCCAGCCGTGTCCCTGGAACTGCGGGTTTCTTCCATGAGTGGAATCTATCCCTCCTGTCTCTACCCTAACCCCCCCTTGGAGGACCCCCAGCCTCACCAGTCGGAAATTTCTAATCTCAGAAAGCAGATCAAATCGCCGTGAAGCCCTAGGCAGCCCCTTCCTCTCTGTGAATCTGCTTCCCCATCTTTACAAGGAGGAGGGGGCGGGTGTCCCAGCGGGGCTGTAGTGGGCCAGCTGAGGCTGTATCCTCGGCTGCGGCCGGCAGGGGGCAGCAGGGGGCAGCAGAGGGCGGCCCAGCGCGGGGAGGAGGGAAGGTGGAGAGCCACCGCGGGCCGAGACTTTAAATCGCCTTCATTTCCCCCAAATCCTTCCTTTTCCTCTCCTCCCCCAGGCCGGCGGGGAGGCAGCTTCCACCGCCCTCCGCGCGCCCTCACCCGGCCTTGCTCTGCCTCCGGGGACCGCCAGCAGCCCGCCTCCAAAAGTTTGATCATCTCTCTCTCTCTTTTTCTTGCTTCTTCTTCCTTTTTGGTGGAAGCAGAAAAGGAGCGAGGCAGGGGCGAGCGCGGCGCCCGGACTCCTGGGACCATGGGCCTGGCGCGGGCGCCCGCGGGGCCCCAGCCGCGCTGCTTGGCTGCTCGGGCGCCCCTGGGCGCGGGGCTGCGCTGGGGGCGCGGGGGCCGCACGCTCTGAGCCGGCCTGGCGCGGCGGGGCGGGGGGCTGGCGGCCCCATGGGGCGCGCCCACACTTGCCCCCCGGGCTCGGGAGCATGAAGTAGGGGCCTGCCATGGGAGCGGGATCGGCGCTGGGGGCCCGAGGCACAGCAGCGGCGGCGGCGCGCGGGGGGTGAGTACGAGCTCGGGGACGCCCCCTCCCCAGCTTCCTGCTGCTCCAATCTCGGGGAGGGCTGGGGTTCCCCGCCACGCGGTCGCTTCCAGCGGAACGTCAGCTTCCTGTCCCTTCCTGCGCCACAGCGAGGCGGAACGCCAAGGGTTAATAGGGGCTTCGCCCCCGGCCGGGCGAGAGTTGGCGAGCGCTGCCTGCCCTGCCGCGCCTGGCCCGGCTGCCCGGCTGCCCGATCCCGTTGGGGCGGGGGCAGAGCTGGCCCGGGGGTCGGGGGGGGGGGGGGGTGGTGGCGCCTGGAGCGGCCAGCGGGGTGCAGGGGGGGGCTCTTTGGATGCTTGGGGGATGAGGGGGTTCTCCGTTTGGGGCCGTCTCGGTGTGTTCCGGTGTCGGTGTCTGCAGGTCCCAAGCCTGTACGTCTCGGTTTCTATCTGTTCTTGTGAAATTGTCTGCAAGTTTCTAGGTCACCAGGTCTCCGGTTCTGCTCCTGTCTCCGTGTCTGTGTGGCTCTGCACGTCCCCGCATTTCTGGATATCTCCCCGTGTGTGTGAGTCGGCCTAGGTCTGTGTTTCCTGCTTCTCGGTTCCTGTCCCTTTCACGTGTGTAAGAGAGAGAAAGTGAGAGCCAGCATGTCAGAGCAGAAGGAGCCCTGGGTCATCACTGTGTGGAACCCCTCAGTGTACACAAGGGGAGACAGGGCCAGAGAGGGGCAGGGACTCTCCCAGGAGCGGCTGCGCGGGGATGGGGCCCAGAGGCTGGGATTCCCGGCGTGTGGAGTAGGAGTTGTGAGAGAGTGAGCCGGCGCTGGAGCCGGCGCAGCGTGTGGGTGTGTGTGGGAGCCAGCAGCATGCAAGCAGCCCCTTGGGGCCCGGTGGACGGCGCTCCTCTCTTTCCATCCTGCCCCGGGTACCCCAGGACACTCCCCAGAGGCTGTCAGGGCTGTAGCTGGGCCCTGCCCCCTCTGAGCTGAAGTTGGGGGATGACACCCCCCCCCCTTTCTTCCCCGTGTCTTGGAAAAAGCTGGCTGGTTAAGATTCCCCGGCTCCCCACCCCCCTCACCGCAAAACACACACACACACACACACACACACACACACACACACACACACACACACGGGACAGCAGTGAGAACACTGCTGACTCATTTTCTCCAGAAGACCCTGCGCCAGGGCAGATGCCAGCCAGCAGTTGGGCAGAAAAGTGGTGCCAGGCGAGCACCCCATGGTAGGGCCCAAGCTTTGGGCAATGGGCAGTCACACTCCTTGGAGGCCCACTCTCCACCTTCTCCTGCCTCCCTGCCTCCCTTGCCATCACTTCGCCCCGCATGGTATGTGCTCTGGCTCCAGCACGCCTTCCAGCTTTACTCCTGTACCCCTCTGACCAGACCAGACTCCCTGTCATGTCTCTGGACACATCCCTGGCCTCTGCTTCCTTCTCTTTCCTCCCTGTACTCAGAACATTCTCCCTCTCCTGTGCCTCCACCCACCCTGCCGACCCTCAGCAGCCAGCAGCCTCCCAGTGGACTCTGTCCCTTCTGAGCACACTCCCCCTGTATTTTTGCTCCTCCGTCTCCGTCCAGGGACCCTCTTGATACCCACATGTCTGGCTTGGCCGTGCAGAATACCATATCCACTGGTGGTAGGGGACGGCTTCGAGACACTCACGGAATCATGTCGGTGGGAGGCAGGTGGCAACACAGGAGGGGCGCAAGCCTTGCCACAGACAGGCTCGAGTTTGAATCCTAACTTGCTTGGGTGAGCTACTCTGCTGCCTGTTTTTCTCTTCCACAGAATGGGCACCTTCATTCCCAGCTGGCTGGGTTTCGTGAGGATGAACAGGACCATGCTTGTAAAAGCCTTAGAACAGGGCCTGGCATGTAGTAAGTGCTCAATAAACAGCAGCTGGTATTTGTATTATTCCCTTCATGTTGAATGGGTGTGTGAGTCAATGGGAAAGTTCTGGGCTGCATCCATCCAGACGATGACCTGTCTGTGTTCCCATGGAGGAGGTGGAAGCTGTGAAGGAAGTCCAAGCATAGCCGTGTGGGCACAGGGGGTCTGGCCCGTCCATGGAGGCAGGTGGGACAGGTCTCCACCCCTCTTGCTGCGCTGTAGTTCCAGCTAGCTCCCTTTTCAGCTTTCACCCCACAGGTGAACAGCCCAGTGTCCATAGGGCCGCTTTGCTTATGTGTTTCTGTGTCCTGGGTCTCAGCTCAGAGCCCTCAGTGACTGTTCAAGCTGGTATGTGTTTCCGAGATCCTGTGTGTTTCCAGGTAATAAGGATGGAAGAAAAACTATTCCAACAGGC